GAAGGAATCGTTGTGCAGGTGCAGGAACCCAAGGGCAAGAAGGCAGAGAGCAGGAAGCTCACGTGGCACGTGCAGAGCCTCCTACTTCTCTCCCAGCTTCCACGCCACCACACCAGGTGGGACTATTCCCTCTCTATCTCTTTTCCTTGCTCTTTTCTTCCTCCTCCTCTTAAGGGTAGGTAATAACAGTTCCACCCCATCCACTGCCCTCTGCTCGCTCTCTTTTGCAGACCTCACTCTGTCCCATGAATTCAGATGACTTCCCATCTCTGTGTCACAAATGTCCTTCCCTTCCCGCCTATAAGCCATCACAACCTCCACTTCCTGTGGGAAACTTGTATACTTAGGCAACACAGAACTTCTCCTAAATTTCTCCTCAGCCCAACTTTTCTAGTTTCCTTGCTCCTATTAATATTATCTTCCAAACCTTAGAGGCTTACAATTCATATAATTTTGTTTTTATCTCACCTGCCTCTCATCCAATTCCTGTATACGTTTCATCCATAATTTCTCTCACATTTGTTTCTTCATTTTTTTTTAATTGAGGCATTTTTTTTTAATTGCTCTGTTGCCCAGGCTGGAGTGTAATGGTATAATCAGGGCTCACTGCAGCCTCGACCTCCCAGGCTCAGATGATCCTCCCACCTCATCCTCTCAAATAGCTGGGACTACAGGCATGTGCCACCACATCCAGCTAATTTTGTACTTTTTTATGAGACAGGGTTTTGCCATGTTGCCCATGGCTGGTCTTCAAACTCCTGGGTTCATGCAATCCATACACCTCAGCCTCCCAAAGTACTGGCATTACAGACCCAGCCTGTCTTTTCATTCTTAATTCAGACTACAGTCTGCCACCAAGTCCTTCCCATTCAACCTCTGAAATATCTTGTAGTTTTTTTGGTTTTTGTGGGGTTTGTTTGTTTGTTTGTTTTGAGACAGAGTCTCCCTCTATTGCCCAGGCTAGAGTGCAGTAGCGCAATCATAGCTCCTTGCAGCCTTGAACTCCCTGGTTCAATAGATCCCCCCACCTCAGCCTCCTGAGTGGCTGAGACTATAGGCACACCACCACACCAGCAGCAACAATATATAAAGTTGGGATAAAATGACTATTTGTCCTATTATTTTGGGAAGAGATTCCAAAAGGATTCACATTGTGTGTGTACAGGAAAGAATAAAATCCTGGATGTGTAGACATGTCCCTGAGTATGGGAGACAAAGCTAAGAGTGAGTAGAAATGATTAATTCAACCATTGTTATGTTAGAACACCCCAGGCAAAAAGAAGAGAGCTGGCCTGGGGACCACATGAGGTATGTAACAGAAACCAGTGTTGCCAGGTCAGCCTGTCCAGGAACCTGGCTGAGATGGCGATTGATACTAGGCCTAGGCTAGAAATGAAAGGAGCTTTTTCTTTCTTCTTTGTCTTGTGTGGTAATTAAACTTTTTTTGGAGCGAAAACTAGAATGCAGCAAAAACTTTAGAGCCATGGTTTTCAACCAGTGTGGTTTTGTCCTTCCCTCCCCCGAGAAAATTTGGCAACATCTGCAGTCATGTTTGGTTGTTAAAACTAGAGGATGGAGCCCAGTATGGTGGCCTGTGCAGGTAGCCCCAGCTTCTCAGGAGGCTGAGGCAGGAGGGTTGCTTGAAGCCAGGAATTCGAGACTGCAGTGTGCTGTGACCACATCTGTGAATAGCCACTGCACTCCAGTCTGGGCAACATAGTGAGACCTCCATCTCTTAAAAAAACAAAAACAAAAAAAAAAACTGGAGGATAATGCTACTGGTGTCTAGTGGGTAGAAAGACCAAGGATGTTGGTAAACATCCTACAATGTGCAGTATAGTCCCCCATAACAAAGATTATCCAGCCCCAGATGTTAGTAGTACCAAGGTTGAGAAATCCTGCTTGAAAAGAAATGCCAAGAAAACACTTGGCAATAATGCTATTGCATGGAAGAGAAGGGACTATGATATTTACTGTATTATATGTCCATTGTTTCACTTGCCCATTGAGATGTTAGTTTGAAAACTCCTCTCCCTGAGTCTGGAATCTGTCAAGTGAATTAAGAAGGTCAAAGGCTTTTTATCAGTGATCAGTGTTTTGTGCATTCTTGAAAGGGCAAGGGTTGTCATAAGAAAGAGCAGAAAGCACTTCATGTAAATCATACTTGATGTGATCCCAGGAAGCTTTTGAAAACTAATTTCATTAAATTTAGTGGTGCAAATAGCCAGGTGATTTTTGATTCCATGGTCAAAGCTAGGGAAATGAAGCAGGGTGGTGTGAGGTGTGAGGAGAAGATAAATAAGAGAGCTTCTTTCTGGCTTTGCTTTTTATAGTGTCAAGATTTTTTTAAATGAAGTGAATCCCTTTGTATTTGTCCTAGTATTCTTTTGTGTTTGTCCCCAGGCCTTAGAATGACTTCCCAGTGCAAGATTCAGAAGCATCATTATGTACCTATGACACTGACCCCACTGTTTATTTTCCAAATATTAGGTACTTTGGGGAAGCATGACGAGGGAAGCTGTGTTGTGACTGCCCGTGAGGGTGGCTGATCTGGCTGGAGGTCAGGATGGCTGTGAGGTCACCAGATCCCTAAGGGGCTTGAGGGAAGAAGATCAGTTCTCCAGGAAGAATCAGATGGACTGGAAGTAAAGGCAGAGAAGCTAAGCGTGTATCTTGCACAGCTTTCTTCTTCTTCTGTTTTTTTCTTTTTAAAATTTTTTTTATCATGACTGACTGAATCAGTGAACTTGATTTTTATGAGCTGCTTCGCAGACATGCAGAGAAAAAACAGCTTGGCAGGAGTAGGGAAAGCGGGGAGGGATCTAAAGTAAATACCACACTTGCCTGCAGTTTAGTTGTTGACAAAAAACAAACAGTTTTCCCTGAGAAGCATGTGTAATATGTCAGGAAGAAAAAAGAGCAATTAACACTCTTCTTACATAAGATCTTGATAGCACTGTATTAATTTTAATCATTTAGGTTAAAATGCTCTTCTTTTTTTTTTAACTACCAGACAATAGACTATATACATGTATTTGATGTTCACCCATGTCATGCTTTCCAAGGAAAGCATAGTTTTTTGGACCTCCCAACTTCTAACAATGAGATTTCCCTGATGACATCTCCTGGCTGTCCCACAGATCAGCATGGCCCTTACACTGTTTCTTACAGTTTGTTCTGTGTACCTATGTATCTATCTGCCTGCCTATCTATCTATCTATCTATCTATCTATCTATCTATCTATCTATCTATCTATCTATCTATCTAAAGTTTCCAAGGTCTGCTGTAACAAGTTACCACAAAGTTGCGGAAGCATGAAGCAGCAGATATTTATTCTCTCATGGTTCTGGAGGCTAGAAGTCTGAAATCAAAATGTTGGTCTGGCCGCGCTCCTTCCAGAGGCTCTAGGGGAAGGTCCTGGCTTGCCTCTTGCAGCTTCCGGTGGCTGCAGGGACTCCTTGGTTTGTGGCTGCATCACTCCAGTCTCTGCCTGTTTTCACATGGCCTTTTCCACTGTTTCTATGTCTTGCCCTCTTCTGTGTCTTATTAGGACACTTGTCACTGGATTTGGGACCCACCTAGATAATCCAGGATGTTTTCTTCTTGAGACTGTTGACTTAATCACATCTGCAAGGGCCTTTTTTTTTTCCAAATAAGGTCACATTTGCATTCACAAGTTCCCATGGTTAGGATGTTCATGTTTCTTTTGGGGGACCACAGTTCAACCCACTACTCTATCTTTCTGTCTATCATCTATCTGTTTAACTATCAAAATCCTCTTTGATTTTTGTTTTCCAGAGTGCTGAGTACACACTAGTTACTAATTATTATTATTAATTTGAAAGTGTGGCCTTATTTTAAAGCGACCCAAGTTATTTTCTGGGCTAATTGTCCCACCTTGTTTCAAAGATGTTTATCATTAACTCTAAGCAATACACGGACATAGACACTCCACCCTTACAAAACAAGTATGTGTTTCAGACTAAAGACCCAACATCTAATAGCCACACCTAAATGACAAATGGTAAATTGTACCATTACTATAACTTGTAAGATTGCTGTTTTTCTGGGTGTTGCTCCTTGGGCTGCAGTTAACTTCCTACATGGTCTTCCATACACCTCTAGCAAGGTGCAAATGTCTCCGTTGAATTGACCGTATTTATCCTTGATTAATGTATGTGCCCCAGAAGAAAGAAAAGCAATTGGTCAGAGCTTTAAAAATAGAGGGAGAGGCTGGGCACAGTGGCTGATGCCTGTAATCCCAGCACTTTGGGAGGCCGAGGCGGGCACATCACCTTAGGTCAGGAGTTCAAGACCAGCCTGGTCAACGTGGCGAAACCCCATCTCTACTAAAAATACAAAAATTAGCCGGATATTATGACAGGTGCCTGTAGTCCCAGCTACTCGGGAGGCTGAGGCAGGAGAATGTCTTAAACCTGGGAGGTGGAGATTGCAGTGAGCCCACATCGTACCATTGCACTCCAGCCTGGGCAACAAGAGTGAAACTACTTCTCAGAAAATAATAATAATAATAATAATAATAATAATAATAGAGGGAGAAAACCATAATGTTAAGATGCTTGCTCTTATTTGATTCACTGAATTGAATAAGTTATAAAGCAAGAACAGACATTTACCATGTCCTCTCTCAGTTCTGGAAACAGCGTGGCAGAGAGGAACGGGCACATGTGGGTGGTGAGAGACCTTGGTCAAGAAACCTAGGCTCCAGCTTGCAGGCCAAGGCCTGGCCCTGCTGCCATCTGTGTGACCTCGAACAAGCCCCTGAGTCTCTGGGCTAAAAAAAACTGAAGTCTCCTATCTTTTCAGGCATCAGATGATTAAGCCAATAGTTTTCAAACTATGGTCCAGTGTGCTGCGCACACTCACTTTTCTCTTCCCTGACACAATCTTCATGGTTTTCTCTGTGATTAGAAACTGGGTTTAGCTTGGAATTAAGAAATGATGGTGTTTTTGTTTCTCTTCATTCACCTGCTTGCAGCGGAAAGCTACAAAGAAACACAGATGGTGAAGATTAAAGAGGAACCGATGGAGGTTGACATCCAGGACTCCCATGTCTCAATATCACCCAGCCGGAATGTTGGCTACAGCACTTTAATCGGGCGAGAGAAAACCGAACCCTTACAGAAGATGCCAGAGGGCAGAGTACCCCCAGAGCGAAACCTCTTCAGTCAGGATATCTCTGTGAAGATGGCTTCCGAGCTCCTCTTTCAACTGTCAGGTATGTTTCTGCACCGGAAAATGTCAATAATTGGAAATCATTGAAGGAAAACTCTTCTAACACAGTTTTTTTTAAAAAAACAACCTGAATTGTAGGATTTTTTAGACAGAAATAAATTTTGTTGCTTTAACACGCATACGGCCACCCAAACTAACACTTAATAAAGTGCTGCCAAGTAGAATTCCTGCCAACCTTTCCTTAATAAATAGTTAAGAATCACTTGAAATTAAAACTCTATTCAATTATGTGCAAATGATTCCTGTTGACTAGGCTAAACACCTCACCTCTAATTTTGCTTAGGCAGTTGATCTGATTAACAGCCTTTTTTTTTTAACGTGGAAAAGATAAATTTCAATGTATTCCAACAGTGACTGAATTACTGTGACTTCCAAATTAGTGTGGTCTGAATTAATGAGGTTTTATTGTATCTTGCCAAAACAAAAATAAAACAAAGAAGGGAAAAGCAAAAGATGAAAATATGAGGACTATTTCCAGCTGTAGCCTTAGCAGAACCGTTTCTGTAAACCAACTTTTTGTACTCACGTACTTAGAATTGAAAAGTACGGTAATTACCAGCTCAGTGAAGTATCTGGATGAAATAGTTAAGGATCCCAGTACCTAAGTTGTTCCTTTTGTCATCTCTTTCAAGCGACACACCACTTGTCCCTAACAAATTTAACATGCTTCTATTTTTTTGTGCAAGATTGAGGTTGATGGTATATACATATATAAGATTCAGGTAGAAATACATACAAATACCTTGTCCAAAGCCAAGCACTGGCCTACAGTATTAAAGTTTATGCACCAATAAAGTCTGTTACTGATGTCCAACAAACTCTGTTTTGTTATGGATAACACATTTAGAGCATCCATTAAATTCTCTCTTAAGGAAGATACCAGGAAAGAGAAAAAAAGCTAAAATCTGTCTGTCACAACAGTTCACCTTCTCATTGACCTGGCAACACAGCCCATAGTTGTGTAATTATCAGATGGTGCTGAAAACAGTGGCCTCCAGGTCCTCAAACGGGGGGGTGTTTGTGCAGATCTCTGCGGTAGCTGAAATCACTAATTCTGTAAACTTTATAGGACACACAGATCTTTGCAAGCTCCAAAACAGGCTAGTTTTATTTATTTATTTTGAAGGACGAAGCTTATCTAAAAACAATATAACTTTAATAATGATTGAGGAGTTACAGTTTGCAAAAGCGTGACCTGTGTGGTTCTTTTCAGAAAGTCTGTCTGTAAACCGTATGCTGTCGCAGTCTCCTATCAGCTAAAAACTTTGTGTCTGAGAGTTCTCACCCTGGCGCTGTCACTGCCTGGGTGACCTCAGACAAGTCATTTAGACCCGATTTCCTGCTCTCTGAAAGAATACTGGCTGTGAATCCAAATTCACACTCGTCGTCATTGTTGAGTGGACAGAAAGGAATTGTCCGTGCACACATGCATGCAGTGGCTTCAGACTAGCAGTACAAAGTGTGAGACAGGTGTTGCAAATCTTTGTTTAAATGTTTCCAAAACTCCACAAGATTAAGAGTTTTTTACTTGCCCTGCTGTTTAGATCTGAAACTCTTATAGCGTTGGCCAGGTTTTTTCTAGATATTAAAAGAAGCCGTTGGCAGCTGTGACCATCAGTGTAGGGTCCTCACATTTGAACTGCATTGGGAAGGCCAGAGTTCAACTTTTGTGTTCTTGAAAGCTCATTAAATAATTTCTGGCAGCTGATAGATGTAGACCTCAAGCCACAGTAAGGGAGTGTCTACCTCTTCTTGTCTAAATGATATTTTTTTGTCCCTTGTGACATTTATCAGAATAACACTGAATGACTGCAGCACCAAGAGGTCTTAGGCTGTTTTTATATCCCCTCTCACAAAGGGGCCTCACAGTACAGAATGCTTAAAGGTTGTCATCAAAGTCAGAGGCGGAACAGTTGCAACAACTGCAGTTTTCATGCTGAATCAGAGGAAAGCAGAAATTTTCAGCTGGGGAAAGATACAGTGGAAATAACTGTCTCTGCCCGTAGCTCTATGTGTGTGTGCGTGTGTATGCGTATGTATGTACTTACTAAGGCCTCATTCAAATCACACCACATACTTGATATTTGTTACTGTTTCCCTTTGATTGGTTTTTCTTTTCTTTTTTTTTTTTTCTTTTTTCGAGACAGAGTCTCACTCTGTTGCCCAGGCTGGAGTGCAGTGGTGCAGTCTTGGCTCACTGCAACCTCCACCTCCTAGGTTCAAGCAATTCTCCTGCCTCAGCCTCCCATGTAGCTGGGAGTACAGGCACATGCTATCGTGCCAGGCTAATTTTTGTATTTTTAGTAGAGACAGGGTTTCACCATGTGGGCCAGGCTTGTCTTGAACTCCTGACCTCAAGTGATCCACCTGCTTCAGCCTCCCAAAGTGCTGGGATTATAGGCGTGTGCCACAGCACCCGGCCTGATTGGTTGTTTTTGTTTTGTTTTGTTTTGTTTTGTTTTTTGAGATGGAGTCTTGCTCTTTTGCCCAGGCTGGAGTGCAGTGCTGCCATCTCGGCTCACTGCAAGCTGTGCCTCCCAAGTTCACTCCATTCTCCTGCCTCAGCCTCCCGAGTAGCTGGGACTACAGGCACCCGCCACTATGCCCGTCTAATTTTTTGTATTTTTAGTAGAGACGGAGTTTCACTGTGTTAGCCAGGATGCTCTCGATCTCCTGACCTCGTGATCCACCCACCTCGGTCTCCCAAGGTGCTGGGATTACAGGCGTGAGCCACTGCGCCCTGCCTGACTGGTTTTTAATAAAATATTTTTATGGATACTATCGACATGCTTTTAATGATTGTCTTTTCCAGTAAGATGGGGAGGATCTGGATGTTTAAAAAAGAAATCAAAAGGAAACCACAGAGGAAAAAGAGAAATGTTGAGGGTTTTTCTGCTTAAAGCTAAAAGATGCAAGTTGAGCGAGAACAACCTAAGAGGTATACGTTTCATTCTTTCTCCTTACAGAAAAAGTGAGCAAAGAGCACAATCATACAAAAGAAAACACCATCCGGACCACCACCAGGTAGGCGACTTTGTGTGGCGTTCCTCCAGAACACCCTATGTGGGCCACCAGCCCGTACTACATGTTGAACGTTGCTCTCCAAACCTCTTTCTCCCACTGGATTCAAAGGAGTCACACCCTTTACCACCATTTTCTACCAAAATTTCTCAGTTGGTAGAAACAATACAGAAGTAAAGGAGGAAGACCACTAATATTTACTAAACATCTAATAGGTGTCACTTTGCTGGGAAATTTTCTGTATGTTATTGTTTTGTATTCCTGACAATAATTTTGTGAAGTAGATGTTATTATCATCCTCTCTGCAGAACTGTCTTGGCCTGAGAGTTGAGCTGGGTGGCTCAGCTGGGACTCGGGGCTGGGTCTGTATCTCACGAAGGCCTCTTTCTGTCTTATTGCAACCCTGCTCCTGACTGCCTCTGTGACTATAGGCTGATAATTTGTCACCAAGGATATCCCAACTTTTTTTTTTTTTAACCTCCCAGCATTATTTGGAAGGCAAAGATTTTAAAAGAAGAAAAAAGATAATGCTTTTAAAAAATTGCAAGAAAATTTATATCATTCACCACTGTGGACAAGGGAGTTTTCCACTTGCCAAAGGCAGTCTAAGGAGGTCAGCCAATGTAGGCTGCCCACTGTCCATCTGCCATTGTGAGGAGAGGAGGACCAGCCAGTGCTGCTGCTCCCATGGAGCCTTGAAGTCCACCCAAACCTGATACGTTGTAGGCGAGAGCCAGCAGGTGGAAACCCCACCACTGCAGAAAAGGAGCTCAGGGGAAATGCATTCTCCACTTTTGAAGGAGCGTTCTCCACTTTCAAACCTCCCTCCAATTTCTGAGTTAGCCCAAGATATGAGCTTTACAGGATGATCAAGAGCAATACACACTTTTAGGATGAATAACTAGGAACAGTGGGAACTAGCTGGGAGCTACCAAGGAGTCTTAAAATCAAGGAACTTTGCTTTCCTGAGCAAGCAGAGAAAGATTCTTTCTGATGGGAACAGTTGCTGGGTTTTGTTTCTAATTTTCTTGCAATAAAAGGTAAATGATATTTTTCTTTCTGATGTGTTATTAATTGACCTCACAGCATTATCAGGCCTGTGGACAGTACTCATTTAAACTTTAACCTGAGGTTTAAAAAAAAAATTCCATTAATTGGAGGTTAGGAGTGTCAAATTTCAAAGAGCAATTAAAACAGAGCCAGCTTGCCTCACACTGGGTTTATTTTATTTATTTATTTATTTTTATTTTATTTTATTTTTTTTGAGACTGTGTCACTCTGTTTCCCAGTCTGGAGTGTAGTGGCCCAGTTGTGGCTCACTGCAGCCTCCACTTTGCAGGCTCAAGTCATCCTCCCATCTCAACCTCCCAAGTAGCTGGAACTACAGGTGTGTGCCACCATCCTCTGCTGATTTTTGTATTTTTTGTAAGGATGGGGTTTTGCCATGTTGCCCAGGCTGGTCTCAAACTCCTGAGCTCAAGCTATGTGCCTGTCTTGGCCTTCCAAAGTGCTGGGATTACAGGGGTGAGCCACCGTGATCGGCTCACACTGGGTTTATATAGTATTAGGGAAAGGAACCTCGTTCTAATAGAACAGAAGAGTGGTATATATTAGTGTTGTGTCTGTATATAAGTATTCAGATAGAAAATGAGACTAGGAAGTTGGACTGCAGATTGTATTGAGAAATGGCTTTCAGGGGATGGAAAGGCTATTTTGTATATTAAGTTTGATGCCCAAATAGGAGATGTGAGCTCCCATGGAGTCCATCCTGCCCCCTCCTACATCTAACCTTAAAGCTATTTAGTATATTGCTTGTGTCTGTGGGTCTAAACATTGATGAAATTGGCTAGATTAGTAGACATTGAAAGACAGCAGACTAAAAGTAATAAATATTCATTTTAATTTGCTGCCATAGGATTCTTGAAGTGTTATAGGTTAAGTCCCCTAGAGATGGAGATTCTCGTGGAAGTGCTTTATTGAGGGAATGCTCTCAGAGGAACCTGCAAGGAGGTGATGGGGGCAGAAGAGGGAAGAAGGAGAAGGAGCTGAGAGCAAGGATGTGGTTTTAGCTGGTTTGTAACTTCAGCTTCATCCCCCAGGAAGATTCACTAGCTTCAATTAATCCCCTGCAGGGGATGTATAACCTCCGGCGTTAGGGGGTTCCAATGGGGACAGCAGTTCTCACTTATAGTTGTCAGGCAACACTTACAGCAACTCCAGGGTGGGTGCACTACTGCTGGAGGGAGGATGTGGGCAGGACCCCACTAGCATGATCTATGGAGGTTTCTGCTGGCTCTTTAAGATTACATAATATACAACAAAAAGATGTGCTGCAAGACCATATTATTTTATGCTTTTCAGGTGTTCTCTGGAAAGAGGTAAGAGGAGGCCCCAAATTGGCCCCATACAAGGACTTTAATGTGCCTCAAGCCTAAACTGCCTTGGCTGGAGCTGAAGCATGATTATAGGATAGAGGAGAAAAAAAAGAAATTTAACCATTTGGCAAAAATGATGCAATCCTTAAATTCTCCTCTTGCTGGGAGATTATGAGTAAGAGGAAATCCGAATTAGAGCTTTTGCCCAAAGCGAAGGAAGAGGTTCTTCCTGTGAGCCCCCAGCATTATATGGTGTTTAGAAATCAGTGTTAAGGAATTTTTGGCTTATAGTTCTACAAAGTCCTCGTTGTGTTTTTTATTTTTATTTTTTCCTTTGAGTAGAGGCAACTTGCTTGATTAGGCTATCCATAAATAGATCTCTTTTTTACCTCTAGCCTTATTATTTCAGGTGGAATAGAATCAAATTTTTATGCCAAGAAATCTTCTTTAACCTCAGTTAACTGATAATCAGAAACAGAAAAAACAATGCCAACTTTCTTTCTTCTTTCCGGACTCCTGTTTTAGAAGGAGCTCTTACTTTGCACATACAAGATCAGTGTGTGGATTATGCTTTAAGGTGTGATTTGTGATACATTTCAAAAAGATTTACATCAAACCTCTGAATTTCTGTATCTTCAGATTTTTAAGTACTAATGGAGTGTTTATTTAGTAATCATATCTTCTGTGTTTGATTTCCTAGAAGAAACTGACTATTCAGAAGGACAGTTCATGATTGGAATCAAGTTCAGAATTTTTCGCACTTTGAGAGTAGCTAGGTATACTTAAGGTAGTTTCATTTGTAAAGGGCAGGCCTGGGATGCCAGCCTCAGCACAGCACGGAGATCAAGCCTTCCCTTGCCTTTCTCATGCTGGTAAATGCCTAGAATCTCCTGATCCTAGCGTCTGGATATCCAAGGACATGAGGTGGGGAGAAGAGACACAAAACTGAAGTAAGGAGCTGATTCTATCCCTGCCTTTTATAAACCCACAGCTTCCCTCACAATTGTTTATCATTATTTATCTTGATGCTCATTTCAACCACAAGACTAAGGAAAAGTGTAGCAACCCAAGAGGAAACACTCTGTAGCTTGGCGTTCCAATACGTGCTTGCCAGGGAGTCATGGGAGTGCTGATGCCCATGTCCTGCACCAAGAGAACACGAAGTCCATGGATATGTGCTGTTAACTCTCCATCCCGTAAGGGTTGGTGACTGCACTTTCCTCATCATCAAATCCTCCCTTCTCACACCTGTCCAGTGGCAACTCTGCCCCTTGTTAATACCTCTGTTATAGGATGGGTAGATAAGGAGAGTGAAAATGATGGGAGACAACATTCTTTGTTAGCGATTTTTTAAAGGGATTTAGGTGAAGCTAAGGTTGAAACTAGTAACTACCAAGTTTCTGGATCACTGGGTCTCTACCTCATTTTTAAAAACTCTTATAATGGAAAATTTCAAACATATACAGAAGTATCTGTCATCCAATCCAACAGTCATCAATTAATGCTTTATGATATTTTTATCTATCTCCCTCCTCTAATTCCCCCTCCCTGTAGATTATTTTGAAGCAAATCCCAGACATCATTTTAAGAACTGATTTGAGAATCCCCTTTTTTTTAATCCTAAGAACTTAGACTTAGCTGCTTAAATTACGAAAATCTTCCCAAAAGGAAAAGAGAAAAACAATCCACCAAGGCACACCATGTAGCCAGGCAGAAAAATCAATCTACTTAGCAGCTGAAATGATTGAATCATGTGGTCCTGCTCACCAATGCCTTGACCCTGTCCCTCCACCCTTGTTTGTGTCCTCATCGGGGCACTTCACATTGAATCAGTCCTTTAGATGGAACTTCACCGTAAATGCTAAAACAGCAGTCTCTTTCCCTGTTTAACCTCAGAGTCTAGAAAATTCAATCCAAGTGTAAAGAAGGCTGTGGGTCTCCTTTGAGATAGTGTGTGGACTGAGTATTCTTAATGCCACTCTATCCGACAAATGAGATGAGGAGAGTGTCCCGGCCAGACCCATGAGAACAGAAGGACCGAACATTTCAGACTAATAAAATCCTGATTTTTCTATTTCCTTTCCCAGCACAAGCCTAGGTTCTGCAGGGAGCAGATAACTAGCTATTATGATCATTTGGTAGATGAAAATACATGAGACATGATATCATAATCAGATCTCAAAGTTTAATGGAATAAAAAGAAGATCTACATCCTTTGACATGGACCATCACCCAGCCAGATGCTGGATAAGATCGAAATAGGAAAATGGAACCCTAGAGTAAGAATCAGATAGCTCCTGGCAGGTGAATTGGACATGGTCGATGTTGTGTAACACCATGAACTTCAAACAATGGCTGCCAAGAACCCTCTCTTGGTTATTTGTTCTCTCTTTTCCCCATTAATAATTCAGTGTCCATGGGGGTATAAGATTGCAGGCCTATAAGAAATACTTTCTCACACCTGGCTTGCTTCGTTCCAAAAACAAGGAAGAGTTTGCCTGAATTGTTCTTTTCTCCATTACTAGACAAAAAGCAGAAGTGGGAAAATCAGAGAAAGATAGACTCACATCATGCTGTGCAGACCAATATTTAATTTGCCCAATTTTCAGAATTTGAAATGCAGGCTAT